AGCACTGAGCTCCAGCTGGAGCCTGGCACTGATCCTGGTGCTTCCACTGAGCTTTGACAGCTCCAAAGAAGCGCCGATCAGCTGGAAAGCAGCACTGATCCTGGTGCTTCCGCTGAGCTCTGACAGTCCTGCAGCTCCAGCCATCTCTCGCTCAGGCTTGTGTGGTGCTGCCACCGGTTCAGTTCATTCCCCTCCCCCACTACCACTTTTCTAGGATGGTCGTGTACCACCTGCCTGGTGCCAATGTACCACAGGTGGTACCCGTACCACTGGTTGAAAAGCCCTGCTCTAACCTACCTGCCTCCCACCTCTGATGGGCTGAATAGATCTGAAAATCTGTGCAAATCAGAGCATATCTTTACGTAAGCTAAAGAAAAGTTTGCTGCAATTTCCCTATCAGTTTAGAGCAGTGGATTTTAAAACCTGGATTATTATTATTATTATTATTATTATTATTATTATTATTATTATTATTATTAAAGTTGGAAGGAACCTTTGAGGTCATCTAGTCCAACTCCCTGCTCAGGCAGGAAACCCTATACCATTTCTGACAAATGGCTGTCCAGTCTCTTCTTAAAAACTTCCAGTGTTGGAGCATTCACCGCTTCTGGAGGCAGGTTGTTCCACTGGTTAATTGTTCTAATTGTCAGGAAGTTTCTCCTTAGTTCTAGGTTGCTTCTCTCCTCGATTAGTTTCCATCCATTGCTTCTTGTCCTGCCTTCAGGCGCTTTGGAAAATAGCTTGACTCCCTCTTCTTTGGGGCAGCCCCTGAGATATTGGAACACTGCTATCATGTCCCCCCCTTGTCCTTCTCTTCATTAAACTAGACATCCCCAATTCCAGCAACCGTTCCTTGTATGTTTTAGCCTCCAGTCCCCTAATCATCTTTGTTGCTCTTCTCTGCACTCTTTCTAGAGTCTCAAGATCTTTTTTACATCGTGGTGACTAAAACTGGATGCAGTATTTCAAGTGTGGCCTTACCAAGGCATTAAAGAGTGGTATTAATACTTCACGTGATCTTGATTCTGTCCCTCTGTTAATGCAGCCCAGCACTGTGTTGGCTTTTTTGGCAGCTGCAGCACACGGCTGGCTCCTATTTAGGTGATTGTCCACTAGGACTCTGAAATCCCTCTCATAGTTATTACTTTTGAGCAAGGTACTCCCTATACTGTACCTGTGCATTTGGTTTTTCTTGCCTAAATGTAGAACCTTGCTTTTTTCACCATTGAATTTCATTTTGTTAGCTGTGGATGAAGTTCAATTACCGTTCTCTCAGATACTTCTGGAATCTCAATTAGCTTGAAATTTGCAGTGGTTGTTTGTTTTTATTTTTAAATGTTGACTATCTACATTTAAATGCATGCACATCACACCCATAAATCCCAAATGTGTGATTTCCGAAGCAGCTTCCGGAGTGAGGGTGGGTGGTATTCCTGCAGAGAATTGAGGATTTAGCAAAACCTCACAGGGGTTCAGAAAGACGGGCATATAAATCATCATCAGTGAATGGCAGCTTGGGTGAGTCATTTTTCTCTCCCCCCCCTGAAATAAATGAATATTCTTTCACTTCTAAACTCTTCCAGCTTGTTTAAAAAAATAATTACAAAACAGAAAATGCAGAAAGAAGACATAATAACTTGCAGATATTCATTATCTCAGCAAGTGAGGCTGGCGGTTTAGATTCCCTAGCTCACTGTTTTGAGAGATATGTTTAGGAAACTCAGTAGGCCAGGAAGAGGAGGGAAATACAGAAGAAACAAACCTTGATTGCAGCACCATGAGTAGTTTTTCACACCTACACAAGGGTTGAATCACATTTTGTGTGCCTAAGGTAAGTTAACATATGTGTTGTGCTCTTCTGTTGGTTAAAATACAGAATACAATACAGAATAGCGGAATTGGAAGGGACTTTGGAGGTCTTGTAGTCCAGAGGTCCCCAACCCCTGGTCCATGGACCAGTACTGGGCTGTGGCATGCCAGCAACCGGTCCACACAAACAAGCAAAGTCACATCTGTGAGATGCAGGCAGCACACAAAACCATGTGTGCACTCTCCCGTCTGGGAAAAAAAACCTTTCTCCACGGAACTGCTCCCTGGTGCCCAAAAGGTTGGGGACCTCTGGTCTAGTCCAACTTCTGCTCAGGCAGGAAACCCTATACCAGGGGTAGGCAACCTTGGCTCTTTTATGACTCGTGGACTTCAACTCCCACAATCCCTGAGCCAGCATGGCTCAGCTTGAAACCTCTCCCTTTCCCCTCAGCAGGGCTGGCTCAGGAATTCTGGGAGTTGAAGTCCACAAGTCATAAAAGAGCCAAGTCTGAAGACCCCTGTCCTAGACAGTCACTTCTCTGAAATGGTATAGGGCAGGGGTAGGCAACCTTGGCTCTTTATGACTCGTGGACTTCAACTCCCAGAATCCCTGAGCCAGCATGGCTCAGCTTGAAACCTCTCCCTTTCCCTCAGCATGGCTGGCTCAGGAATTCTGGGAGTTGAAGTCCACGAGTCATAAAAGAGCCAAGGTTGCCTACCTCTGGCCTAGGCCTAGGCCGTTTTATGACTCGTGGGACTTCAACTCCCAGAATTCCAGAGCCAGCATGGCTCAGCTTGAAACCTCTCCCTTTCCCCTCAGCGTGGCTGGCTCAGGAATTCTGGGAGTTGAAGTCCACGAGTCCTAAAAGAGCCAAGGTTGCCTACCCCTGCCCTATACCATTGCAGACAAATGGCTGTCCAGTCTCTCCTTAAAAGCCTCCAGTGAAGGAGCACCCACAACTTCTGGAGGGAAGTCATTCCACTGATTAATTGTCCTCACTGTTAGGAAGTGTCTCCTTAATTCCAGGTTGTTTTCTCCTTTCTCCTCTCCCTTTCCATCCATTGCTTCTTGTCCTGCCTTTGGAGGACAAGGGTGCTTTGGAGGAAAAGTTGATCCCCTCTTCTTTATGGCACCCCTTCAAGTACTGGAAGACAGCTACCATGTCAGAATACAAAATAACACAGTTGGAAGGGACCTTGCAGATCTTCTAGTCCATTGGTTCTCAACCTGTGGGTCGGGACCCCATTTGGGGTCGAACAACCATTTCACAGGGGTCGCCAAATAATGCAGTCCACCATTTTCCCTCCCCTTTACCTTAGCTGTGCTACTCCCTTTTATTCTACTGGCTTTTGAAAGCCAATAGAATAGACTCTCTTGAATAGAGTCTAATTCTATTGGCTTTCAAAAGCCAACAGGAATTGTCCAGGCTGTCTCTGCCCTGCTGAGCCCATTCTGCAAACGGTGCTGCACCAGTTGAGTAGTCCTCGACTTACGACCGGTTGAGTAGTCCTCGACTTACGACCGGTTGGGGGTTGCGGCATTAAAAAGGTTGAGAACCACTGTTCTAGTCCAACCCCCTGCTCAAGGAGGAGACCCTATACCAGCGATGGTGAACCTTTTAGAGACCGCGTGCCCAAACTGTAACCCAAAACCCACTTATGTATCGTCGGGTGCCGGGTGGGCGTGGCCCATTGGGTGGGCGTGGCCCATTGGGTGGGTGTGGCCCATTGGGTGGGCGAAGCTGCAGTGGTAACGGCAGACTGGGTGGGACGAAAAAGTTCAATCAATTCCAACTTTGCGAGATCTTTTTTTTTCTCTCGCAGGAACTTGAAATTGATTGATTGCATCTTTTTTTTTTTTTTTGGCACACGGCGGCGGAGGCCTAAAGCGAAAAGCTTTCATAAAACCCAGCTGAAGGCCTAGGACTGGGGCGACGGCACGCGTGCCCACAGAGAAGGCTCTGCGTGCCACCTGTGGCACGCGTGCCATAGGTTCACCACCACGGCCCTATGCCATTTCAGATAAATGATTGTCTGCTTAAAAGCCTCCAGTGAAGGAGCATCCACAATTTCTGGAGGGAAGCCATTCCATTGATTAATTGTTCTTATTGACAAGAAATTCCTTCTTAGTTCTAGATTGAAGAGATTGGACAACTGTTCGTCTGAAATGCTATAGGTTTCCTGCTTGAGCAGAAGGCTGCACTCCAAAGTCCCTTCCAATGCATTTTTTTGTTTGTTTGTTATTCTGTAGTGTTAGATACAGGTAAAATAATAATAAAAAAAAATGACTCATACCGCAATTTCATAATAAACTCTGAGTCAATCCAGCTATTCTTTGGTGGTGTTGCTTTTATAAGCCAATATGTTTGGCACTGTCTCAGTGGGTTGTTTATTTTTTTATTTTGTTTTAATTACAACTGTTTTGTTTTTAAATGTCTGTGAATTTGCTCTTTTTGGTTAGCTTGCCAATTGTCCTCATTATTTTCCCCTCAAACATTTCAAAATGCTCTAGCTGTTGCCTGTTGCCTGCCTACGTTTGCAATTGTGATTGAAACATCCTTGGTCGTTATGGGTTTTAATTTCTAATGGTGAGAACAAATAATCAGTGGAATGGATTGCCTTCAGAATTTATAGGTGCCCCGTTTCTGGAGGCTTTTAAGAAGAGACTGGACAGCCATTTGTCTAAAATGGTATAGAGTTTCCTGTTTGAGCAGGGGGTTGGACTAGAAGACCTCCAAGGTCCCTTCCAATTCTTGTTCTGTTATTCTGCTATCCTTCCTTCCTTCCTTCCTTCCTTCCTTCCTTCCTTCCTTCCTTCCTTCCTTCTTTTCTCCCTCCCTCCCTCCCTCCCTCCCTCCCTCCCTCCCTTCCTTCCTTCCTTCTCCATCACTGGAGGCTTTTAAGAAGAGACTGGACAGCAACCTGTCTGAAATGGTAGAGTGTCTCCTGCTTGAGCAGGAGGTTGGACTAGAAGACCTCCAAGGTCCCGTTCTATGTCTTCTGTGTCTATGATTTCCTTACCAGTATAGAGTCCATGTTCCTCCTTGAGTTCAGACATTGAGCAGAGGGACTGATCTAATTGAAGCATAGCTTAACCTCTGGTGAAGCGGCACAGCCTTATGGAATAGGTAAGAGAGGAGAACCCCTCGCATTTTTCTTCCTTCACATTCTGTTGTCTGTTTTCATTTCAGCTTATGTGCTCCTCCCTCCAGAAGGCATTGTTTGACGAGGAGGACCACGTAAAGAAACTCCAGCAAAAAGTGGCAAGCTTGGAGAAACGCAACAAGCAGCTGCAGGATCGGGTGAAGAAGGCCAAAAGGCTACTGAGGCAAGCCAGGAAGAACGGCCAACACATGGAGCTGACCAACCAGAAGCTCAACGAGAAACTGTCCTCCATGGGGGTCCAGTTCCCCTACATTAACTCCTTAAAGCAAGCCCATTCTCGCGCCACGTACCTAAAAGTCTAAGAGCAACTTAGAAAACCTAAAGCTACAGACTTAGCGATGGAACGGCGTGTCCTTCTCCACCCAATCTTACCTTGCGGAAGAATTGTAGTGCATTCAAAGTCTTTGGCGCTCGAAACGTGCAGGATTTGTCTCAAGTGGATATCTCACTTGCTTCGAACCGGCTTTGTAAATAGGATTCAAGTTTTGCCTAGGAGGAAACGTGGACCGTGGTCTTCAGAAGGTGGCTTGAGACCAACGAGGAGTGGATTTATGGACCATAATTGAGGGGGCTTGAGTCTTGGATAGGTGGGTCCAAGGTAGTCCTCGACTTACAACAGTTCATTTAGGGACCATTCAAAGTTACAACGGCACTGAAAAAAAGTGACCCCTTTTTCACAGTTACGACCTTGACAGCATCCCCCGTGGTCACGTGATCAAAGCTCAGACGCTTGGCAACTGACATGTACTTATGACGGTTGCTGTGTCCCAGGGTCATGTGATCCCCTTTTGTGAGCTTCTGATAAGCAAAATCCATGGGGAAGCCAGGTTCACTCAACGACCGTATGCTACCTTAATAACTGCAGTGATTCCCTTAACAACTGTGGCAAGAAATGTTGTAAAATGGGGCGCTTAACAAACGTCTCACTTAACAACAGAGATGTTGGGCTCAATTGTGGTCGTAAGTCGAGGACTACCTGTACTGTAGTAGCTGAAGCACTCAAGGGAGGCTGAACCTGTTCCAAAGGGAGGGATGTGAAATGACCCAGAGCTCCAGGCAGGCCCCTTGAAGAAACAAAAGAGTCTAAGTGTAAATAATAAAAAGTGTATACAATCCTGAGCTTGTGGAAGTCTTGGTATTAATGCAAAGGACTCCCGAAATTGTGATGAGAGAAACTCACTTCTGTCCAAAGAGGTTCATGGACAGATTTAAAGAGAAGGCTTCAAAAGAAGCTTCTCATATACTTACTTTGAGTAACACTACACCGTATTTAGAAGGAAATCCCACTGGGCAGAGTTGTTCTGCTGATCACCATGTCTCTCGTTTTTTAAAATTACCGTTCCCTTTACGTCTATTTTTATTACATTTTAAATCACACTGATCTTCATGCCACAAATGTAATTTTCACATTCTTTCCTTACATTCACTTCCACAATCTCACTCTCGTCTCCTTCCCTTCATAAAATTTTGGAAACAGCTTTACCTGTTATCTATCTATCTATCTATCTATCTATCTATCTATCTATCTATCTATCCTTTCATCTATCAATCAGTTATCTATCTATCCATCCATCTATCCATCCATCTATCTATCCATCCATCCATCCATCTATCTATCTATCTATCTATCTATCTATCCATCCTTTCATCAATCAATTATCTATCATCTATATCTATCTTTCCATGATCTATCTATCTATCTATCTATCTATCTATCTATCTATCTATCTATCTATCTATCTATCTATCCTTTCATCTATTTATCAATCAATTATCTATCTATCATCTATATATCTATCTTTCCATCATCTATCTATTTGTCTGTCTGTCTGTCTGTCTATCATCTAGCTATCTATCATCTATTTATCTCTCCCTCTCCCTTTCTCTCCCCATCTTCTGGTGACCACAAGATGATTTAGGCAGACATGTATCTTTCAGTTCTCAGCCAAATTCACAACTGTCTAGATTTGAATCCGATGGGGAACTCATCAAATTTGCAGATGACACCAAGCTGGCAGGAATAGCCAACATTCCAGAAGACAGGCTTAAGAGATAGGAGGATCTGCACAGACCTGAACACTGGGCACTATCTAACAAAATGAAATTCAATGGTGAAAAAAGTAAGGTTCTACGTTTAGGCAAGAAAAATCAAATGCATAGGTACAGTATGGGTAGTACCTGCCTCAATAATAGTAACTGCAAGAGGGATCTCAGAGTCCTAGTGGACAATCACTTAGATATGAGCCAGCCGTGTGCTGCAGCTGCCAAAAAAGCCAACACAATCTTAGGCTGCATTAACAGAGGGATAGAATCAAGATCCTGTGAATGTTAGTACCACCTTATAATGCCATGGTAAGGCCACACTTGGAACACTGAATCCAGCTTTGATCATCATGATGTAAAAAAGATGTTGAGACTTTAGAAATAGTACAGAGAAGAGCAACCAAGATGATCAGGGGACTGAAGGCTAAAACATATAAGGAATGGTTGCTGAAATTGGGTATGTCTAGTTTAATGAAGACAATGACTAGGGACAACATGATAGCAGTCTTTCAATATCTCAGGGGTTGCCACAAAGAAAATGGGGTCAGCCTCCTCTCCAAAACACCTGAAGGCAGGACAAGAAGCAAAGGATGGAAACTAATCAAGGAGAGAAACAACCTAGAACTAAGGAGAAATTTCCTGACAGAACAATTAACCAGTGAAACAACCTGCCTCCAGAAGTTGCGATTGCTCCAACACTGGAAGTTTTAAAGAAGAGATTAGACAACCATTTGTGTGAAATGATATAGGGCTTCCTGCCTGAGTAGGGGGTTGGAGTAGATGACCTCCAAGTTCCCTTCCACCTCTGTTATTCTGCTGGATTAGGCTTTTAAAGAACAGACACGGCTTACCTAAAGGTAAACTGGTTGATAAGATAAAACTTGCTCCCCCAATATTTTCAGACAGTAGAAAGCAGACACCATGTAGAAATCACAAACATCCTCACACTGTTTTTGTATTCTCTGCTAGTGCTCTTTTTTTTATTTCTGCAAGGTTTCTAAAAACGAATGTGTTAAGTCTTCTGTTTTATAGTGACAAGGGCAGGAGATTTTAGAATCACAGATCCGACAGTGAAAGCATCTTCTCTTGGGTAGGATTATACCTGTTTGATAAACAAAGGGTTAAGATTTTCAGACAAGTTTGAATATATTTGTCAGTGGTTAAATGTTGCCTGGACTTAGCAGCTGGTCCTGGAGTTAGAAGTGCGACAGAGGGGTGCAAAGCTTTGTCTGTCACTTATTTAGCTGTCCAATCAGCTAGTTTTAGCATACTCAGTTAACTGGAGATAGAGAATGGGAAAAAACACACCATTTCTTGTATTAATTTCACTTCCAGAAAAGGGAAGGGAAACATTAATCTTTGAACACTTTAAAAATGGATTTTTGTAAAGCCAGCAGATAATATTTTTGATAGCATGGACTTCTTGTCTGGCAATCAAACTCTCTTTAGATGCATAGCTACTGGTCAAAAGTTTAAGTACCAAATGTTTCTTCCAAAACCTCAACTCAAAAGTTGTGTCAGAAGTAAGTCTTCATCCTGGTTCATCCAAGCCGGGAATAAATAAGCAACATGGCTACTGCTTTGGGAGGAAGGTTACAGTTTATTGGAGAAGCAGAAAGATGGTCCTTGCAAGAAAGAGCAGAGGAGAGGAAAGAGGAGTTGAGCACATTAGCAGTAGGTTTTTATACCCCCTCTAGCCTTGTTTGGAATAGTTTCTTGTACCTGTGGCATGAACCTTGAGGCTATTTCTGAGTGTTTTTCTAGGCCTTGATATCTGTGGTTTAATCCTGCTTCCCAGGTGATGGGGCTAATGACTCCTAGAGTTTGGGTGGGGCATGCAGATTTTCTCTTTGTCTTCTTGAGTGCTCTGGTTTCAACTTTCTGATGGTTTTACATCTGCACTTGTATGGGGCTAGCTCTTGCTTGGGGCAGAGAGATAGATTTGGGGCCAAGTTTGGTTTTAAAAAATACTTTTGAGGAAAAATATATTTTTCTGCCCTTTTAATATTTCCTTCTCTGGGCTAACTTCCCTCAGTTGGTACCATTTTTTTTTGGTACTTAAATCTTAACTTTAAATACCAAATGTTTCTTTCAAAACCTCAACATAAAGCACTCTGTGTGTGGACCGAGAGATAAAGTCCATCAGCCCTCTGGTAACGGTCAGTCCCTTATACAAATTGCTGCTTGATAGGAATGACACAGAAGGAGTACAACAAGAGATAAGGCTGAAATAGAAAAAGGGATAAAATGTCTGAAAGGGAATGAACGAGAAAGAGCAATGCGCTTAACAGAGTCGAAATAATTTAGATCTCAAGAGGAAAGAATATGTTCACTCTTAAACAGAGGTAGGCAACCTTGGCTCTTTTATGACTCGCGGACTTCAACTCCCAGAATTCCTGAGCCAGCCATGCTGAGGGGAAAGGGAGAGGTTTCCAAGCTGACTCAGGAATTCTGGGAGTTGAAGTCCACGAGTCATAAAAGAGTCAAGGTTGCCTACCCCTCCTCTAGAAGCTATCATCGGTAGACTACATAGCACATTATTTTTGATTTTCTGTTTTTTTTTAATTTTTATTTTAATAGCCTTGTTTTAATCCATGACATCTTCAGAGAGGTTGATCTAACTGTGTTAATAAATGCATTAAAAGGGTCTTCTAACTATGTTAATAAATGCATTAAAAATATTGTTTTGGAACTTATGCAATAACCCAAGTCAAAACCATTATTTCTCCATCAATCTGGTTCTACTGTTGAATTGCTCCTATGATTCACCCCCTCCACCTCCAATTATCTAATCAGAGTCTGCATTTAATTTAATTTTGCAATTTGAGATAGTTATTCCATGTTCTGAATACCTTGTTTTGTATGACAACCCATCAGGCATTGGAACACAGCTATGATATGTCCCACTCAGTGTGACTCATCGATTGCTCTTCATAACATTTAGCTCCCAGCCTTTGCTAATAATCTTTGCTGGATTCCTGAATCTGTTCCGGTGCATCTAAATCAGACATGTCAAACACAAGGCCCGGGGGCCAGATGCGGCCCGCGAAGTGGTTTCATGTGGCCCTCAAAGGCATCCTGGAAACAGTGAGGGAATGGCCCCCGCTGCCTTGGCCCTGGCCCAGGCCAACCGGGAGCCAATGTATATTTTTGTGGTGGCCATCTATGCTGAAACGCATTCGGTCTTAGCTCCACAAGGCCGTCTGGAAACAGCGAGGAACCAGCCCCTGCCGCATCAATCCCACCCCCTGGGTGCATGCTGGGGAGGTGTCACCCTTTGTGAGGAATGAAGAAATGGACCATGCTTTGGCGCTTGCCCTGGTTCCACCCTCTTCTGCCAGAGACCCTCAGATCTGTCCCACTCCTGCCCAGGCCCCCACAGGCACCCTTGACGCGAACGATGTAGAGCTGGCCGTGCCCACCCAGTAGGCCACACCCACTCCATCCATGCCCACCCAGTAGGCTTCATCCACCCTGGCCACACCCACCTGCCCCCCCCGAGGGCAACCGCAATGCTGCTGCGGCCCTCAATGAAATTGAGTTTGACACCCCTGATCTAAATCCTTCTTCAAAGCACTTATGAAAAAGTGAATATTGTAATCAAGGTGGGCTTTGAACTAACCACGGAACAAACTCCAGGCTAACCCTTATTATATTTTTCTTCACACCTGTGTT